ACCACTCCAGCAACCCTCAGTTTGTTTCCTGAGATTAAGAATTCCTCATATCAGTGAGGTCATATGATACATGTCTTTCTCAGATTGACTTACTTCACTCAGCATAATACCCTCCAGTTCCATCCATGTCGTTGCAAATGGCAAGATCTCATTCCTTTTGATGGCTGCATGATATTCCATTGTGTGTGTGTGTGTGTGTGTATATATATATATATATACACCACTTCTCCTTTATCCATTCATCTGTCAATGGACATCTGGGCTCTTTCCATAGTTTGGCTATTGTGGACATGCTATAAACATCAGGGTGCATGTATCCCTTCAGATCCCTACAGTTGTATCTTTGGGGTAAATACCCAGTAGTACAATTGCTGGATTGTATGGTAGTGATTTGAGAGTTCTCTAGCTGAGTTCGGGGCACTTCGTGAGCCCACGGCCCTCCTACTCTGCCGCCATGTTTCCCTACTCCTCCCACACTGGAAGTCCTTCTTATCTAGAGCTTCCGGCCAGCTGCCCTGCCCCAGAACCCCAGGGTGTGCTCCTGTCCGGGTGCAGTGAGGGACAGTCACTCAACTGCTGACGCTGGGCTCCCACTCTGTCTCGCCACTCTCCACAGATCTGGGTTTTTCTGGAAGCTGGATCCAGTCACAGTGGTAGATGTGGGATAGGGATCAAGGACCAGTAGAGGGACTGAGCCTCTGTCAGGCATTAGGAGAGAACATCTAGAGCCCACACACTGGGACTGAGAGTAAGATAAGTACAATTTTTGTGATCCTCTCTCTCTGTCTCTTATAGGATGGCTGTTCCATAAGGTCAAGACTGAGTCCCCTCCCTTCTCTCACTTTACCAATGCCCGGTCTCATGGGGTTAGTTTTGAGCCCCATACTATGGCATCATCATCCTCCTTCCCAGCTCCTCGCTCCCGGTCCAAGAAGCCTCTGGGCAAGATGGCTGGTGAGTGGAAGCCGACTCCTAATTCTGCTCTTGTTCACAGCTATGAGTGTACCCCTCAGTGTTCCTGTTGGCGAGGTGGGAGGGCTGCCTGGCCCACGCGCAGCAGGAGGTGCAGGGAGGCTGACGATGATGGGCTCCTGGGCTCCGGCCTTGACCTCAGAGCCCAGGTGCTTTGTGGTGAGTGAGGAGAGAGGCATGCATCATAGAACCTTCAGTCCTTTGGGCTCACAGCTTTTCCATGCATGCTCAGCTAATTTTCCTAACCTGGAAACCATGGTGCAGAGCACTTAGCATTGTGTTTCTTGTCATGGAAGTCTTTCTGAACCATTTAGAGGAAGGAGCCAAGCAGAGTGAGAAAACAAAGTAATCTCCAGAACACTAAACCTTCTGTCCTTATCAAAAGCTGGGGAAGCTGAGCTGATCTCATTATGGAATACTTACAATATACCAGATACTGCATTATCTCAGTTAATCTTCAACAACTAAAATGAACCTGTGTTACAGATGAGGAAATGGTAGACATAGACTGACTTGCTTAAGGTCATACAGCAAGCAAGCTGCAGGTCAACAATCAGATCTATGCCTGGCTCCAAAGTATAGATTGCGAATCACTAGGCTCTCCGCTTTTCAGCTCTGAGCAGTAACCCTCCTCCATGCTTTTGTTTTGTCATTTAGCAACAATCTGGGATTTCCTGGGGCCAGATAGATGCCAATCCCTCCCCTCCTTCCCTCCCATAATGGGTAGCCCACCTTAATCTGAGTCCACCTCCCCTCACTGCAGAAAGTGGGTTTGGGAATTGATTAATCCTGACCAGCTTAACATAGCTCTACTTACAGACTAGCGGATGGTTGGCTAGTCACTACTAGTGGGAAGTCTGGGGTAGAGTAAGCTGACAGTACCAGAAATCAAAGGGCCTGGAATAGGGCAAAGACATCTTTCCTAATCAGGCTGGTGAAAGTCAGAGTTCTTTCCTTTCTTTGTTCTATTGTTGTTTATTTAATTATTGAAGTGTAATTGACATGCATTAGTTTCAGCAGTACAATATAATGATTCAATTTTTGTATATTTTGTGAAATGGTCACCACAAGACCTAGTTAACATCCATTACCATACATAATTACAGAACTTATTTTCTTGTGATGAGAACTTTGAAGGGTTCTGCTCTTGGCAACTTTCAGAGAGGGAATATACAGTATTATTAACTATAGCCAGTGTGCTCTATGTTACGTTCTCACGACTCATAAAACAGCCAGTTTATGACTTCCCCAAACTTTAAAGATGATGGGACCTTCAGGGCAAGTCCTGAAGGATGTACAAAAGAGCAGAGCCGTAGGTCTCTTGAGAGTCTGGTGGCATGGTCTGCCCGTGGGGGGCGATGGGCGGACCTGCCAGGTGTGGGGTCCTCTGTGCAGGGCCATGAGGACGCAGTCTGGTGAGACTACCCGGCCTGAGCAGCGTTTCTCTGCCCCACAGACTGGTTCAGGCAGGCCCTGTCGAAGCCCAGGAAGCTGCCGGACTCTGCAGAGGGCACCTCCAGGGACATTTCACAGCCGAGCTCCCGGGACGACCCCCCACCCCTGGGCCTCAGCTCAGCCTTGTCTCGCACGCCCCCGCCCACACACGACGTGGGTGCTAGCAGCAGCAGCGGCCGCTGGAGCAAGGACTACGACGTCTGCGTGTGCCACAGTGAGGAGGACCTGGTGGCCGCCCAGGAGCTGGTCTCCTACCTGGAGGGCAGCACCGCCAGCCTGCGCTGCTTCCTGCAGCTTCGGGATGCGACCCCAGGTGGCGCCATCGTGTCTGAGTTGTGTCAGGCCCTGAGTAGCAGTCACTGCCGGGTGCTGCTCATCACCCCAGGCTTCCTGCAGGACCCGTGGTGCAAGTACCAGATGCTGCAGGCCCTGAGCGAGGCCCCTGGGGCGGAGGGCCGCACCATCCCGCTGATGTCGGGCCTCACCAGAGCCGCCTACCCTGCTGAGCTCCGGTTCATGTACTTCGTGGATGGCCGGGGCCCCGATGGTGGCTTTCGCCAAGTCAAGGAAGCAGTCATGCGCTGTGAGCTATGGGGGAGGGCTTGGGGCGGGGGGCAGGGAGAAAGGGAGCTTGCCCGCAGCGCCACAGTGTCTGGTCTGCTTTGGTTTTTAGGAGACAGCCATTGTAGCCCCGTAGCTCAGAATGCAGGCTCTGGAAAAGACTGTTACTTGTGGAAGTTATCTGACCCGTCTGTACTTGGGTTTCCCCATTGGTAAAATGAGAATGATACTATGTACCTAAGTAAGTATATACACTAAACAGGTGTTCAGACCACGGCCCTGCCCAGGTAAAGTACTCCTCTAACAGGCAGAGCCTACCACATACCAAGTTCTCAATAAATATCAGCCATTATTATCATTGTAAGTATTAGGTTTCTCTCACTGAAGTCAGGTTGGAGATGTCCACCCAGAGCCAGGAAAATGCCCGGAGGGACATTAGCTTATGAAGGCAAAATAGTGCAAAATAATAGGAAAGAATTGTGTATCTGGGGGTGGGGGTGGGACATTATATTACAGTGGGTTTGGAAGTGAAATAGATAAAAAGGTAGAAGAGGACCTATTGGAGGAAACAGATGCTAGGATTTGGGAAGGGTGACAAGCCCTGTGATTCTGTTCGCTCTCTTGCAGATCTGCAGACCATCAGCTGACACTCTTACATCACCATGGGACCCAAAAAGTTGGAGCGAAGCTGAAAATCCAGTTAAGAGAGCCCAGGGCCTCACAGGGCCTCAGAGGGCCTTGGATTCCAGCCACTGTGACGAGGTGTAAGGAACCAAAGTTTGTAGCACTTTGTATGTAATCCTGGGGTTCAGATTGCCCATCGGGCACCCATTACTGTAGGCTCCCCAGGAAGGCTGTGGGGAAGCTGGGGACTTCCCCAGGAAGGTCATGGGGAAGCTGGGGACTCCCCCAGGAAGGCGTGTGGAAACTGGGGACTCCCCAGGAAGGCCATGGGGAAGAAATCATAGGTGTTAGGAGGTGCTGATACCAAGATCACCCATGTTTTGCCTCCTGCCTCACTGGACACACACAGCCTGGCACATACCTACATCTTCTTCCCCTGGAACTGGGCCCTGGGATAGAGAAGCATTCTGCCCCCCCCCCCCCCCAGAAGAGGTGACTCACCTGGGCCATGAGCTAGAAGCCAGGGCTGGTTTCCCCAGTGGCCTGGCATCAGGAGAAAGCAACAGGTACCAAGTCCTTCACACACTACTGCCCTTCTCTTTCCCAGGGACGTTGTCCACTCCAGAAGGGTAGAGGAAAGATGCATTCAGCACTGTACCCTATTTATTTTTATTTCGTGTGTGACATGAAGACGCAAACCTAGAAACCATTCTGAATAGTTGGGAGGGGGGCAAGGAGCAAGTGGGCTGAAGAGAAGGAAAAGTTCAGCCCCTATCGCTGACTCAGAAGCCCACCCACCGATGCTTTCCCTCATGGGGGCCTCATCAAAGGTCTGACTAGAACTCATGCTTTTACAAGCTTCTTTACCTCTGTACTGAGAGAGGTCAGCAGTTTTCTTCTGGCAGATGATTGTGTACCTCGTAGGACAAAGTTTCATCTGTTCTCAGTTAAGTCTGTTGTTGAATTGAAATGAACTTACTCCCCTGATGGGTATTTTGTGCCTCTTCTCTCGCTTCCCCCTCCTATGCCCCCTCCTTTCACTGGAAAAAATTTATATATTTGAGATAAATTAACATATTAACATTAGTTTTAGGTGTAAAACATGACGACATACATATTATGAAAAAAATGTATTTTAATTATGAATTATTTTATTACATAAAGACTATACTGCTTAAGAAGCAAAACCTTACAATCCCTATGGTGCCCCCTTTATGCCCTTAATCACCTTCTCCCCATTAGAACAATTTTGAATTCTGAATTTTGGGTTTCATTGGCTTTTCACTTACACATCCCTGACCACGTTTACCTTTACATGGTTTTGTACTGTATTTAAATGGTATTATAATGTTTGTATTCTACAAATTCTTTTTGTTGACCACATGTAAGATTTATTCATGTGGATGCATGTAATGCCAGGAAATTCACTTTCATATCAATATGTAAATGTACCAAAAATGGACATTTGGTTGTTTCCCATTTGTTGCTATCAAAAGCAATGAGCTGGGCGCCTGGTTGGCTCAGTTGGTTAAGCGACTGCCTTCGGCTCAGGTCATGATCCTGGAGTCCCGGGATCGGGTCCCGCATCGGGCTCCCTGCTCAGCGGGGAGTCTGCTTCTCCCTCTGACCCTCTCCCCTCTCATGCTCTCTATCTCATTCTCTCTCTCAAATAAATAAAATCTTAAAAAGAAAAAAAGCAATGAGCTTATGAACATTTTTGTACACACTTCCATGAGATTTTCTAGGATTTAGCTGAGATGGGGAACAGCTGGGTAATAAATACACATTTTCAGTTTGGGTAGAAAATACCAAATTTTCTTCCAAACTTGTTATGTCATGTTCCTACCATTTGTGTATAAGATTTCCCACTTTTTCATGCTCTTATTAAACATGTAGAATCATCAGAGTGTAAAATGTTTGCTGATCTGGTGGGTGAAAACTGGTATCCTATTGCCATAATATTCTTTTTCTCTTTTTTATGAGAAATTCCATGTATATCATATACCAAAGGGGAAGAGAAAAATCTGATGAATCCCTGTATACCCATCACCCAGCTTCAACAGTTGCCAACTCAGAGCTAAGCTCCTATCAATAACTCCAATTCCCTCCCCACCAGATCCCTTTGAGGCAAATCCCAGGGATTATTTTATTCCTCTGTATTAAAACTATGTATATTTTTAGGAGTTTTTTTTAAAAAAATGTATCTTTTAAAGAACAGAAAGCTTTATTATTTTTAAATATAAAAACGTTTACCTATTACTGTATTGTGTTTTTGCATCTTATTTAGGAAATCCTTCCCTGTTCCTATAATTTCTTCTGGAGCTCTTTCCCATTTAGATCTTTAATCCCCTGGGATGTTTTGCTTGGATTTGATTGTTGTTGCTTTTGGTTTGTTAGTCAAAGGTCCAATTTTTTTTGCCATTTGAATAGGCATTTTTTACTGACTACTAGTCAGTCCATCCTTTCCTCCTACCAATTGTGAGGTCACTGCTGCCCTTATATTGTCATGTGTGGGTGTGTCTGTGTATCCCTGCATCAGTGACACACTGGCTCATTTACTATGATTTTTAAGAAATCCTGATGCCTATAAGTATTTTTATTGGGCTTATATTGAGATGAGAGATTAAGTTGGAAAGAACTGATCTTTTTTATATTGAATCTTTCTTTCCAGAAAAATGGTATGTCTCCATTATTGGTATCTTGAAATGCATTTCAATAGTTTTATAATCAGTCACTTTTAATTTATTCCTTAGTGCTTCATATTTTCTCTTGCCACTGTAGAAGGTATTTTTATATTTCTTATCTATTACTGGTAGAAAGGATCACAGTTCTTTTGCATATTGATCTAATATAAAGCAACCTGCTGAATTACTTAAAAGACCACAGACTTTGTTCTATTTCTATAATCATATAATTTGCAAAACAAAACAAAAACTTTAGTTCCTTGTCTTTTTGTGCTGCCTAGGACCGGCAATATGTTGAAAGTGACAATAGCAACTATCTTTGTCTCATTTATGCTTTTAAAGGGAATGCTAACATTTCTCCGTTAAATGTGATATTTGTTAGAGATTTTTGGTTTGGTGCAAATTTTTAACAAGTTGTAAGTTTCCTCTTTCTAGTTAGGAGTTTTACATTATCTTGAATGTGTTTTAAATTTAATCTAAAATGTCCCCATCTACTGAGGTGATGTGTTTTTTTACCCTTTTAAATTGGTCAATACAATGAATAACATTAGACTTTCCAATGTTAAGCCAGCCTTAACAATTTTGGGGAAAACTCAATTTGTCCGTGATGAATAAACTACCTCTGTTATAAATCACAGGATTCAGATTGCTAACATTTTCTTTAGGGTTTTACATCTATGTTCATATGTAGAATTGGCCCATAATTGTCTTTTCTCCAGTTGCGTTACCAAGGTTAAACCAGCCTTCTAAAATAGCTGGGGAGTGGATGAAATGGATGAAGGGAATTAAGAGGTACAATTTGCCAGTTATAAAATAATTTAAGACATAGGGATGTAATGTATGGCATAGGAAATACAGTAATATTGTTAACAACTCTGTATGGTAACAGGTGGTAACAAGACATATAGTAGTGACCATTTTTGTAATATATACATATATTTTTAAAGATTTTATTTGCCAGATAGCGAGCGAACATCAGCAGGGTGAGCAGCAGGCAGAGGAAGAAGAATCTGGGATCATGACTTGAGGTGAAGGCAGATGCTTAACTGAGCCACCCAGATGTCCCATTTTGTAATGTACATAAATATCGAATCACTGTCATACACCTGAAACTAATATTGTATGTTAATCATTCTTCATTTGAAAAATAGCTGGGGAGTGGTCCCTTTTTTCTACTCATTAAAGAGTTTAAGCTTGGAACTCAATTGTTCCTTGTAAGTTTGGTAGACTCATCTGTTAATCCATTTGGGCTTGGCATTTTCTTTGTGGGAAAAAGATTTAAAACCGCAATTTCAATTTTTTTTTTAAAGATTTTATTTATTTATTTGTGAGAGAGAGAAACAGCATGAGGGGAGAGGGTCAGAGGGAGAAGCAGGCTCCCCGCTGAGCAGGGAGCCCGACGTGGGACTCGATCCTGGGACTCCAGGATCATGACCTGAGCCGAAGGCAGTCGCTTAACCAACTGAGCCACCCAGGCGCCCCCGCAATTTCAATGTTTTAAAGAGTTGTAGATGTGTTGAGATTTTCCATTTCTTCTGGAGTCAGTTTAGCATAGAGTAAGCAGTCAATGAAAAATACAAGACCAGCTTAAATAACTTTTCAATTTGAATTTCCTGGATCACATAGACAGTACAAATCTGAATTCTAAACCTGCAGACTGGCCTGTGGTTATGAATTTTCAGGGGATTTTTTTTCTTCCCTACACAGCCAGATGTTGAGACAGATAACCTTCCTAAATATCTTGTCTCCTTTAGTGGGGAGCTTTTGTTTTGTTTTTAGTAGTTGGCCCTTCCATTGAGGTGGTGGACCTTAGAGATCTTGACTCTAAGGGAAATGCTCTCTTCCAATCCCTCACCTGGCACAAACCCCCAGGGCTTGTCTCCTGTGCCTTAAACGTCACAATGAAAGCTCAAGGCTAGGGGCACCTGGGTGGCTCAGTCAGTTAAGCGTCTGCCTTCAGCTCAAGTCATGATCTCAGGGTCCTGGGATCGCCCCGCCTTGGGCTTCTGGCTCTGCAGGAGGCCTGCTTCTCTCTCTCCCACTCCCCCGCTTGTGTTCCCTCTCTCGCTGTATCTCTCTCTGTCAAATAAATAAAATCTTTAAAAAAAAGAAAGAAAGAAAGAAAACTCAAGGCTCTATAGACTTCCAGAAACCAGCAATCACTCTTAGAACTGAAGCTTCGGTGTCCACTTAACCATTCTGAGAACTCATACTCCCACATTTTTCATTTCTGAAAATTTTATTAAGAGAGCAGCAATGTAACCAAATGGATGTTTTTAATTTTGCAGCCAGGACATTCAAGTTTTGTTGTTTTTTTTTTTAAGATTTTATTTATTTATTTGACAGAAAGAGACACAGCGAGAAAGGGAACACAAGCAGGGGGAGTGGCAGGAGAAGCAGGCTTCCTGCGGAGAAGGGAGCCCGATGTGGGGCTCGATCCCAGGACCCTGGGATCATGACCTGAGCCGAAGGCAGACGCTTAAGGACTGAGCCACCCAGGCACCTCACATTCAGGTGTTTTTAGTTGACCTGTTTCAGGATATCTCATCTATCACAAGGCCTGAAATGGAAGTGTCTAGTCCTTCTTTAAAATAAAATTAAAAAAAAAAGATTTGGCAGAAGTTTTGAGATTCCTCAAGAAGACTGAAGGATTAATGCTTATTGACAGACTTGCCAGTAATAACCTTCTAATACTGCAGTTAAACTTTCTGTGATGGTAGAAATGATCCACATCTGTGGATCATTTTTTTTTTGTCAAAACACTTAAGTTTTATTGAAAACAATACAGAAACATCAGATTCTCATTTTAAAGTAAAATTGACAGCATCTTCCAGAACCTTCCTAGTACTACACCATTCTTGTCATTAAAGTTTCAAATCCAAAATAATTAATGAACCTGCTGTCCAGTGTGATAGTCCGTAGCCGTATGAGGCTATCAAGCACTTGAAACATGGCTGTTGGACCAAGGAAATGAATTTTTAATTGATCTAATTCTAATTAATTCAAAATGTAAATATCTACATATGGCTAATGGCTGTTAAATGTGACAGTGCAGGGCCTTCTAATGTTTCCAAGCAAGAGAAACTAAAAAATCATCAATAGACAAATGCCTCTGAGCCAAGCGAAGCCCTGTGGTGTTACCATCAAGGTCGGCTGCACTCTGCTGTCTGGTATCCTTTTTTTTTTTTTTGCTGTCTGGTATCCTAAGAGGTCCTTTGGTGGCTGTGGCTTCCTATGAGTTCATCCTTAACTTGAGTCAGGCCTTTTTAGGAGTGCAATTCTGACCTTACGGATAATTGAATCACAATTATACCTGTGTTGGTGAATTTCCCATTAATGAATTAAATCTCTATAGAATTTCATTTTGTATCTCCTCTTTGCTCACTACATTCTAGCCACAGGGCCATTTTTGTTTCCAAAAAATGTCAAGCTCGTTACTACTTCAGGGTCTTCAGCATTCTGACATCTCTGCCTGAAATACATGTTCCCTGGTCTCTTCACAGGCTGGTTCCTTCTCATCTTTCAAGTCTCAACTCAATGTCACCTCCCTGAGAAGCCACCCATGACCACCTTATACCCTATCCCCAGGCTCTATCACATTGTCCTGTTTTACTCTATAAATAGCACTTAATCATATCTAAAATTATCCTATTTGTTTTCCTCATCTCCATTTGAATATGAATTCTATGAAAGTAGAGATCTCCCCTGGCTTGTTCAGGATGGACAGTGTCTGGCACAAAGAAAATGGAAGCCTAGAGAGGGTAAGTGATTTCCCCAAAGTTGCACAGCTAGTGTTGGGGGCCAGATTTCACGGCTCTAATTCAATGCTCTTTTTGTTAAAACAGAGATATTCTGCTCAAATTCTCTTCCAGAGAGGAGACAGAGAGAGAGGGAGAAGGAGAAAGAGAGGGGGTGATTGGCATGAGGAGGGGGGAGAGGAAAAAAGGGAAAGAAAGAGAATGCAAACTTAGACATTTCCGTTAAGATCTAGGCCTTGAATTTTTGAACAGGTTTTGTTATGGCCATTTACCCCCAAAGACATCTGTTCTAGTCTTACACATAGTTTATGACCTCCTGCTGTATACTCCCAGAAGGTGGAGGTGGAGGATGTTATCCAGGAAACCTGTGGACAAGTTTTTGGCTGAAGATAATTATTCCAAATCCTAAGTCTCCCTACTAATGCTCTCTACTTCACAAAACAAATGGCCTTTTATCCAATTCATAATATTTCTGGTAGAAATAATCAATCCAAAAGCAAACGGTCATGGACACAGAGTACACTTTGTTATTGACTGAAAACTGCAAAAATTGCCTCCCTCATTAGTTTAGTCTGAAAAAAACAAAGCGAAAACAGCAAAATTTTTGACTAAATTTCAAACAATTTCTGTCAAATAACACCAAGGAAAAAGGGACTAGCCAGAAATAACGCCCCCTCCCAAAAGCTTACAAAGGGAGAAATTATAAGAAAAAAATTTATACGGGAAAAAAAAAGTAAAGAAAAGCACAGAAACTCTGACAGATGATTCATATTCAAGCTGCAAATCACATCCCTGTATAGGATAGCAGACACATGGGCAAACTAGGTTAACAGAGGAGGCAGAAGCCCCCAGCCTGGGAAAAAAGAAGGTATGGAAATGTATTTCTGCCCTGCTCACTTACCTTTCTTTTCGGCACTGAACACGATGAAAATTTCTGTGAAATGAAAATGGGTGAAAAATGGAAACGGTTTAATGACTCTCATAAAAAAAAAACGACCAAGAAATAAGACTGGTTCAACAGATTTGTTTCAGAAACATTCCTTCCACGCTAACTAAGCAATGTTGGTATAATTCTTATTAAAACGTCAGTATTCAACGCAAGGTGTCAGGTGCAAAGCATCCACGGAGTCCAAAGGTGTTTTCCAGCTCTGGCCACCCGGGGCGGCGGGGGGGTGCCCCGTCCATTGCAGCATCGTTAGCCGGCCTGGTTAGAGGCGCGCTGCCTTCTTTTCTCTTCCCTCGGCACCTGGCTCAACTCAGGCCGGCCAGCGCCAGCGGAGAACCGGCAGCGGCCCGAATTAAAGCTCACCGCGAACAGGTCACTGGGATCAGCGCGTCCGCGGAGCCCGTCGGGAGTTGTAGTCTCTGCACCCTCGCGAAGGCAGGACGCGGCGGCCGCCGGAGCGCCGAGAGGGGCGGGGCCGCGGCTGGGGTTGGCGCAGGCGCACAGCTCTGGCTAGGCAGTATGGCGGATCTAGCGCCTCAACCAAGCAAGAGAAAGCGCGAACTGGACGCCGAAGAGGCGGAAGCCGCCAGCACAGAAAAAAAGGAAGGGGGCGTTGGAAATGGTACCTCCGCCCCTGTGCGCTTACCGTTCTCCGGCTTTAGAGTGAAAAAAGTGCTGAGGGAGTCTGCGAGGGACAAAATCATTTTTCTCCATGGGAAGGTACCATTAGGCAGCCTGGGGCGGGGATGCGGGTCGCAGTGAGCCAATCACGGCCTTGGAGGCAGTTTTTTTTTTTTTTTTAAACCGGAGCTCGGCCGGAAGGGGGTGGGTAGGAAGAGTGTACCACTAGACTGCGTGAGAGCGGGGGCGTACAGGAGACAAGTTTACCCTTAGAATCAAGGAACTCCACAGACGTAGGGTTAATTTTCCTAAGTCTTCCTTTACTAAAAGTAACTAATATTTATAGAGAGTACTGCAGATTAAAAATCACCTGTTGAATTCCCAAACCGTTCATCATGTATTCATTTAACATATAAAGGTGCTGGGAACCAGTAAATGTTCCATGATCATCTATGGAACGACGTAGAGACTGTAGGAGATAGGATCTCCGCTGTGCAGGATCTCAGCCCTAATTGAGGAGACAGTTTATTAAATTGCTAATTCAGTTGCACATTTCATGCACTGAGCTAGGTGCTGGGGATGTAGAGATGAAAGCTACCATCCCTGATTTTCAGGAATGCAGAGTATCTTCTGGTAGACAGATAGGTACAGCGGGCTCTAATAACATGTGCTCAGCTCTATAGAAGGGATTGAGGAGAGACTGAGACCATCCTGGGAGCCAGTGAGGAGGCCCAGCCACAGGTAGGCATTAGGGTTCCTTAGAACTCCTAGCAGGAGCTCTCATTTTGGGAGGATCAGGGGGACCTGGGCCTAGGCTACCATTCCTCTGTGTCTCTTGCTTTGTTTGCAAGATTCCATCTAGTTCTCTTAGCCCCACCTGTCTTGCATCTGTAGCACCTGCTGAAGATTTCAGCCATGAGAACTTTTGAGCTAGGAGTCTATTGCGATACCCAGATTCTAGGTTCTGTTTCCACATTGACTATTTGTGTGACCTTGGGCAAGTCACTTAATCTCTCTGACATGTTTCTTCATCTGTACGGTGGGGAGAATTTGACAGAAGCCCTGCAAGCCTAAAGTAGAAGAAAGTGGAGAAGCTTTGCATCTTTCAGAAGAAAGATGTGAGTGCTGCCGCAAGGATTCGGGTTAATGAGATGGCTGCTCTGGGAGAAGCAGCAGGAGGCGCCAGAGCTTCTGCCTCTGCTCCTGGGCTCACTGATGGTGTCTCTGCCTACAGGTGAATGAGACCTCTGGGGACGGAGATGGAGAGGATGCTGTTGTAATCCTAGAGAAGACACCGTTTCAGGTAGAGCAGGTGGCCCAGCTCCTGACGGGCAGCCCTGAGCTCCAGTTGCAGTTCTCCAATGATATTTACAGCACCTATCACCTGTTTCCTCCACGGCAGCTGAGTGGTGAGCAAGTGGTGGCTGAGGTGGCTTCATGTGGGGAGAGGGGGTTGGTGGGACATTAGGGGGTGTAGTGGTTCCTCTGCAAAACCGGTTTGCATATTCTAGTGCAACAGTTCTCAATGGAAGCAGGAGGGGATTTTGCACCCCGACTCCCCAGGAGACATTTGGCAAATTCTGAAGACAGTTTGGTTGTCAGAACTGGGGAGAAGGGGGTGCTGCTGATACCTAGAGGGTAGAGGCCAGGGATGCTCCTGAAGAGTCTACAAAACAGAGGATGGGACCTCATAACAAAAAAATGTCAGTAGTCCCGAGGTTGGGGTAGTATATTTGGGGAAGGGAGTGTGATTCATGGTATAAAACTTTTCATCTACTAACCCAATAATAATGATTGTCAACACTTGCTAAATTCTTATTATTGTGCTAGCCGCCATTCTAAGTATCTTACGTGTGTTATTGTATACAATACTCGGAGGTAGCCCAATTATGACTGGACTTTACAAGTCAGGGAACTGAGGTTTTTAAAGGTTAAGTGACTTGTCCAAGATCATACAGCCAGTAGGTGGCAGAAAAACTAAGATCTTTCAGTAGACAGAGGACTCGCTCACCACGCTGCTGTGGGAATGAGCAGTGTGTAGGGTGCTGCAAAGATCAGTTACTTCTCTGAAGGAACTCACTTTTAGTCCGGGAGACAGTGAGTGCAATCTAGGGGGATGGACTTGGGAAGGTCAGGAATTCATGAGCTGAAAGGCAGAGATTTGTTTTGGATTGCCAGGATTTTTTATTTATTAAGAAGAGGAAGAATTTGGGGCACTGGGTGGCTCAGTCGGTTAAGTGTCTGCCTTCAGCTCAGGTCATGATCTCGAGGTCCTGGGATCAAGCCCTGCATTGGACTCTCTACCCAGCAGAGAGTTTGCTTCTCCTTTTCCCTCTGTGCGCTCTCTCTCAAATAAATAAAATTAAAAAAAAAAAAAAAGAGAGGGGGCGCCTGGGTGGCTCAGTTGGTTAAGTGACTGCCTTCGGCTCTGGTCATGATCCCTGAATCCTGGGATTGAGTCCCGCATTGGGCTCCCCCTGTTCTGCAGGGAGCCTGCTTCTCCCTCTCCCTCTGCCTGCCACTCCCCCTGCTTGCACATGTTCTCTCTCCTACTCTCTCTGTCAGATAAATAAAAATCTTTATTAAAAAAAAAAGAGAAAGAACTTATTTATTTCCTTTATTTTGTTTTAGCTTCCATGTTGAAAGCTAGGCATGATGTGGGCTTTTTCCCTTTAGATGGTTAGGTTTAATAGGCAGCCTTATTGGAAGCATGAAAGAGACCAGTTGACCTTGAAGGTTCCTTTCAACTAGGAAATTCTGGGATTGACTTTGTCGTATGTGGCAGTTTTGTAATATGCCTCTATCTTTTTGTTTGTCCTCTGGCATTTAAGAGTAATTTGACTTTACAGATACCCTGCCACAGCCCTTTTGACAGGTTTAATCTTTTCTACACCCCCAAGAAAGGGGGCTGTTATTTGTTGTCCTTTGGAAATATATGTGAACACTTGATGTGTAACAAGGAAACCTTTCATGACTGAAGGCAGAGCAGCCTGGTCCTCCACTGAAAGCGAGCCAGTCCTGATTGGTTGGAGTTGATGGAAATGGACAGCTGTATTTATTTTCTCAGAGGCTGACATTTAAGCAAATGTAGCCCTCAACAGGGGCCAAACACCACTTGGGGCGGCCCCCAAACTATAGGCTCTGAGGTCATTGTTCTGCCGCCACCCCTTTCTCTCACCTTCCCCGGTCCCTCTCTGTCCACACTCCCCACCCTCAGTCAAAATACAGAAGATTCTGCTGCCCAGAGAAACCCTGTGGAATTCGCAGCTTTGCCTTTTCCTTTTATTTTTCCAGTACTTCTGTGATACCGCACACAGGTGGTGGCGGCCGCTGCCCTGGCTTTCTATTTTTGTCTTTTTTTTTTTTTTTAAGCTAAGCACTGAAAGAGGCAGTCAGTTATCTGCTCACTACAGGTCTTCCTCCCCACTCAGAACCCCAGACGTCTCCTGCCTTTTCCCCAGTATTGCCCATTATCCCCCCCCCCCCCCCCCCCGCCAGCTTCAGATGTGAACTCATTGTTTCTGGGGCTCGCTGTCTTTGCATAAGCATTAATATACATGCAGCTCATTTTATTTTCCCTTGCCAAACTAGGCATGGTGAGTGGAAGTCATAAAAATTTGTTTCAGGGCTCAGCCCTCCTCCGTCTCTCTCTCTCGTATGGCCATACACCCTGTCCCCTGGATGATAGTCTAGATCAGGGGTTGGCAGATTTTTACCATAAAGGACCAGAGAGGAAATACTTTAAGCTTTATGAGCCACATTAGTGGTCTTTCACATATTCTTCCGTCCTTTTTTTTTTTTTTTTTTTAAACAACCACTTTAGAAATGAAAATGCCCCTCTTCCCTTGCTGGATGTAGAGAAACAGGCCACGGAGCTCATCTTCTGGCCATAGTTCGTTAACCCCCGTTCCAGATTTTTTTTCACTCAAAGTGTGGTCTGTGGACCAGCTGTATGGCTATCAGCCTGGAGCTTGTTAGACATGCCAAATCTCAGACCCCACTCCGAAGTCAGAATTAGTATCTGTGTTTTAGCAAACTGACCCCCCCCGCCCCCGCCCCGGAGTCACATGCTCATCAGACTTTGAGAAGCACTGGTCTTTAAATACGGCCTGTGTGTGGTGATGCCCATGTTTCTTTCTCCATCTCCATCCCTCCCTCCAAGGACTCCACGCTTATTGTAATAAGCGCCTACTTGACATCTCTCTTTGGAGGTCCTAGGTACCTCCTAGGTAAAATGTGAGACTCAGACACACTAATGTCTTTAAAAACACTTAGCACATATTGAATAATAGCTGCTATGATGATTCTCACGTGCGGGCCCTACGCTGGGTCCTGGAGCTTGAGATGAATAAGACACCCGCTCTGCCTGCAGTCTTGTTTGGGGAGGGACATTCCACCAGTTACTATGTGAAAGAGGGAAGTAAACTCAACAGGGTTTGGTCATTGCCTGGATGTAGGGAACAGAGGTCCTGACCCACTAGGTGCTCCCTAAATGCTGCTGAGGAATGAACCCACAAACTGACTAGGCTGTTTTTCCTGTGGGCCAGGTGTTCCACAACCACGAGGTGGCGGCATTGCCAAAGTATTCCTGTGGCCGGCTCCTTTGGCCTCTTTGCTGGAGTCTTCTGAACCCCGGCCCCACCTCTCCAATCTCAGAGTCCAAGTCACCAGCTCTTAACACTGCTTGGAGAGGCCTTAAGGCATGGTTCCTGCAGCCTCTGCCCCCGAAGCCCCTGCACAGTTGCCATTTTGAGTTTTTATGCCATCTCTGGCTATTCCTCCAGATGTCCTTCCCATAATACTGCTTGCTGAGGGAAGCGCTCCGCACCCCCAGTTTCTGAGCTGACTACTCTCCTGATTTCTTCTGCTATCTCTCCACTCACTGGCAAATTTCTTCTTCTCTTCCAACCTGAAGGTTTTGCGTTCTCCTTTATCCCTCCCAAATTCTCAACTGTCCCCAAGAGGCTGCCCCTTGGAGCCACTCATGGCCCCCCACCCTGTTGACATGCTAGAGAGAGCTGGGGGTGTTGGAGTTAGACAGGCACAGGTCCTGTCTTAGTGCTAATACTTACTAAGTGTGGCCTGAGACAGTGTCATGCTGTTTCTGAGTTTAGTGTAGTGCAGAGGTGAAGAGCAAGCCTCGGGTCAGACATCATCTGTGCTGGAATCCTGGCTTTGCTGTTTCACCAGCTGTGAAGACTTGGTGAGTTTTTTGTATTCATTTAACAGAGACTAAGTGCCTTCTCTGTGTTTGGTGCTGTGCTAGGTGTATGCGTTAGGTATTCACTGTGTCCTCAGAGTTGTAATGGAGGGACAGAAGCAGCCAGCAGACAAGGAAACAAGCATTTCAGTGGCCGTGAGCTAGAGAGGGGCTGCTCGGGCTGGGGGCCCGGGAGGGCTCTCTGCAGAGCTGACACTCAAGCCGAGACCTGCAGGATGGAAAGGAACCAGCTGTGCAAAGAGCTGGTGAGGGGGGTAGGGGAGTATTCGGGGCTGAGGGAACAGCATGTGTCGTGGAGGAGGAAAGAGGAACAGAGAAGAGGCTGTTTGTCAGGAGCTTGAGGGGGCAGTTGATGGCTGTGATGTGCGACACAGGTGTAGTTGGGGAAATCGCTTCAGTTATGTTCTTGTTAAATTAGGTTGGTAACTGAACATATCTTGAGATGGTTATGAAACAAATGACATAAGGAAATGTTTTAGGGGCACCTCGGTGGCTCAATCGGTTAAGCATCTGACTCTTGATTTCGGCTCAGGTCATGATCTCAGGGTCGTGAGATTGAGCCCCATGTCCGGCTAAGATTCTCTCTCCCTCTTCCCCTCCCTCCCTTAAAAAAAAAAAAAGAAAATGTTTTAGCCTCCCCACGGAGTGAGAGATACATTTTACACTGTGACCTGGTACTTGTGAATAAACAGTCGTGGATATAGGAGAAACAAAAGGTTCACAAAACAATACTTACCCTTACTTTACCGGATACTCGCTGGTATTTTCAACTGAATTCCAGTCTTGTCTGTTTCCTTTTAAATGCTGGTCTTAACTTCCTAAATTAATTTCATCATCATTGTCATGGGTTATGACCCATGGAAATAAGGCATATAAAACACTTAGCACAGTGATTGGCATATGATGTATATTTGGTTAAGTGTTAGTCATCTTCTGTTATGGGGTTTCTCCCTTTAAGATTGCATGAGCCTTAAATGGAACAGTATAAATAACATGGGGAAATGCCTGGCCCTGACCATGGGCAGGTTTCCTTTCTTCCCCCTGTGGCCATGTGGCAAACGTGAGGGCCGAGTGGGCCAGATGACTGGCATGGCAGTGCTGCCCCGGCTGTCCATGCAGGGCAGAGCCTGGGTCATCTGCTTCTTCAGCTCTCATGCTGTCACGCCTATGGCCATCAATGGAGCCCTT